GAGTGGCGAGTAGGCAGAGGAGTGGGCAGTGGTGAGGAGTACGTGAAGCCGAAGCGCTGAAGGACCTGCTGCATCATGTGTGACTGAGTCAAAGTAATGGTGCGCTGTGCTCTGTCCCGGGTGATCCGCAAGCCAAGGTAGCTGCGCAGCTCACCCAGGTCTGTGCACGTGTGTCTCTTTCTGCAGCTCGGACTTCACGTGGGCGAGTCCCTCAGTGTCAGAAGTAGCAAAGACCAAGTCGTCGACGTACAGCGACGGGTCAGTAGTGGAAGGAGCAAAGCCAAGAGCCGCAAGAGTCGTCCTCAGTGTGTCGTGCCACTCACGGGGTGCCTGGCGGAGACCGTAGACTGGCCGCCGGAGGCTCCACTGGGTACCAGGAGGAAACGACCCAGTGAAGCCAGGTGGGCGGCGCAGCCAGATCTCCTCGTGCAGGCTGCCCTGTAGGAAAGCAGTGCTGAAGTCAAGAGAGTGCAGCTCGTAGTCATGCTGAGCAGCTATGTGCAGCAGAACCCAAAGAGTGGTCATCTTCGGGTTGGGGGAGAAGGTCTGGAAGAAGTCAACTCCCTCTCGCTGACTGAAGCCTCGTGCAACGTAACGCGCCTTGAAGACAGGCGGTGAACCCGGCGGCCGCTTCACCATGAAAATCCGCATGCCACTCACGATGTTCGCCCCAGGCGGGGGAACCTCGTCGATGTAGGTGCCTGTGGACTTCTAGGAAGCCATCTCTGCGTCCATGGCTGTCTGCCACTGAGAGGAGTAGGGACCCTCTATCGCCTCTGCGTAAGAGCACGGGGTCGGGATGTCTGGTGCATCCGGGTCTCCCTCAGGGGCAATCAGCATGGACACGAGATGAGGTAAAGCAACGGCAAAGCACTCAAACTCCTCCTGCCTGTCCTCAAGGACGTCCGTGCCAAGAGCATACTCACCCCCGACGGACGGAGGACAGACAGACTCAGACTCAGCAACAAGGCTAGCGGCGTAGTCTAGACGACACGCGGCAGCAAAGTCAATAAGCTCAGCAACTAGGGCAGACGCAGCAGTGGAATCAAACGACGGGTCAGTGACAATAGTGGCCAGGAGACGCGTGACAGTAGGACTAGCAGCACGAAGGGAGTCAGACTCCGGGTCAGGACCGTCAGCAAGGGAGGACGCAGGAGGGGACGGCAGGGGGACGCGCAGTGGAGCAGTGGAAGGATGAAGTGCCATCCGGTGCATGCCTGGGACAGGAGGAGGACGCGGACGCGGGACACGACTACCAATGCGAACCGTGCGAACAGGTGACGACTGACGAGACTCAGGCGACGCAGGACGAGACTCAGGCAACGCAGACTCAGGCTCACGACGCTCCGTAAGACCTCTTGGCGGTCCAGAGTAAGGAGAAGGACCAGGCAGTGGTGAGGCTGGCTCTAGCTGCGACTGCGGCTGGGCAGGCTGTGGACACAGTAAGGGAAGAGTGGGACCAGTAGAAGGCGGGAGGCCAAGAACCTGCTGAAGAAGCGGAACGAAGTACGGCCGCGGCCGCGTAGCGCATCTAGAACCAGCAGAGACAGCAGCAGTACCCCCAGCTCTAGGGTCTCCAGCTCCAACTCCCGCAGCACCACCAGCTCCAGCACCTCCAGCAGCTCCAACTTCAACAGCACCTCCAGCAGCAACTCCAGCAGCACCACTAGTCCCAGCAGCTCCAATTCCTCCAGTACGAGCACCTCCGGGACCAGCGGCTCCAGCTCCTCCAGCAGCTCCAGCACCAGCAGTACCTCCAGCAGCTCCAGCTCCAGCAGTACCTCCAGCAGCTCCAGCACCAGCAGTACCTCCAGTAACTCCAGCTCCCCCAGCAGCTCCAGCACCAGCAGTACCTCCAGCAGCTCCAGCTCCCGCAGCACCCCGCTGGAGTCTCCAGCGGCGAGCAAACCACTCGTGCAGCTGCGGTGGGAAGAGAAGCTCCCGCCGAGACGAGGCGCTCGCAGGAACTCCAGCAGACTCAGCA